AAAAAATCAACATATCACATTGTATGTTTTCTACTCTCAAGAAAAACTCCAAGTTGCATTCTTGATTAGTATTGTTGTTGCATCTTAGCCAGCTGTAATATCAGTATTTTAAATGGCTCTTTGGATTTGTCTTGGATTTGCTGAGTTTGAATGTTCTGTAGGGATCTTCTTTCCAGATAACATTATTGGCATGGATTACTCCTTCCAGAGCCTCTTTATCCAATTCTGGTGGATATTCTGCTCCATCTACCAGAGTGAACACTGCCTGCTCACAGCCCTCTCTGCATGCTCAGTCCCACTCACCCTGAGACCTCCAGGATAAACTTTAGAATACCTTTGTATTTTTTGATCAATAACAAAAAAAGTCATTTTAGTCTCATACAAAAGGTCAGAAGAAATAATTTAATGGGAAGCAAACAATTGTCCATCTAAAGGCTAATTAACATGGGACATTTTCCTAACGTTCAAGTACTTCCTTCCACTAACAGATGAGTTTTGAGGGACTGAAAAAAAGATCACCATACAAAACACTTCAGCATGAAAAATACTTCTCACACCCAAAGTCTCAAAGGGTTTTGTAAAACAAATTTTCACCATTCACCTTTTTCTAAGCTTTTCATGCTTACCACACTGGACTTTTGCATCATTATTTGCATTAACTATGCAAAACCCCATTCTCATCTACAGCAATATCAGGTATCAGAAGGGGAACTTATCCCACAGTTACTCATACTTTTTTGAAGCTGTAACTTCTTTTTTTTTTTTTCCTAATATAGATTCTAGAAATTGTGTCCAACACAAATGATCTATAAAGCATACTTGCTCAGCATGCAACCTCTTCTTTTAAAGTCACAGTTAGGAGATTATCGGTTTATCCTGGAAACGTCTTTCCTACTCCTCTGCTTAGTATCAGCATAGGGATAAAACCCTCTTAAAATAGTTCTAGGGTCCAGGCAACAATCAATTGTGTGCAATATTCCTTCGATTTATATATTTAGGGATTTCAGGCCTTTGAAGGGCAGGAATGAAAGGGAGATTTAGGCTAAAATTATTTCTGCCTTTAAAGGTTAAGGCAGCCTGTGCATAATGTCCTGTCTCAACATCAACAGCCAAACTCTTTGGAATGTTATACTGCTGTTTCACTTTCTGAATTAAAAGTAGTAGAAGGAAATACTTCAAAGACAACACTGCAATTTAAAACGGTGTAAACTAGGACTTAAAATTAAAATTAATTAAAAATTAATATACTTTTTTCTATTGATGTTTGTAACAGATTTCCCAGAGATACCTTGAATATAATATTTATGCCAATAAAACAGATTGCTTGATTTCACAATCTTTGATGAATGACAATAACTCTTCAAAATTAGACACACAAAACAAAGACAATCCCCACACACCTTACAGAGTCATAGTTTCTTATCCCACCAGAGCGGATATGTCCCAAGCAACAAGATATCTCCATAAAATTCCAGCAGTGGTGTTAAAAGCTTGAACCAGCAACAAAAGTAATTACTCCCAGTTTTCCTCCACAGAAGATGCAGTTCCTCAACACTAGTCTAGGAATCTTGCATGGAAACAACATGAGTGCCTCTTGCAGACCTCTCACTCCTAAACCTCTGAGCCTTGCCAGGTTCATCAGATTATAATTCACTACAATAAATTATTATTATTATTATTATTATTATTATTATTATTATTATTATTATTATTATTATTATTATTATTATTATTATTATTATTA